CCTTACCTGGTACAAGCAGAATACATGCAAGGACAGCAATGTGAAATTGCAGGCACTTCATTTTCCTCTGTGGAACTCCACCTCACTGTTTTAGATAATCTATCCTAGAAGAATAACAGTTTTATTTTAGCCTAGCACAGGTAAAAAGCATTTTATATTCCAATCTAGCCTAGAAATAACAAAGTGTTTCTAATATAATGGCCAAAAGATCGATTATATAGACCACCGATATGCAGTATGAATACATACCTTTAATTAGTTATCCAAAAATAGATCCAAAGTCTTGTTTCTTCGAGAATGCGATCGAATATTAAATATCGAACCACTCTCTCCGCATTCCAGTTACACAATGAGCGACTATTTCTTTTCCAGACTGTAGTTATAAGTATAATGCCATCTAGCGGTGAATAAGTGAAACAGTGAATGAAGGAATGGATACCAAATTGAACTTTTAGGCCATAAAAAGTAGATTCTTTGTTTTGCGTCCTAGTAAAATCAAAATCATGCAAGGGCAAGGAAGACAAACACAAACTCAAGAGTTTTCTTTCTAACGTTTATACATGTACAACATAAATAGCCCAGTTGTTTTATCAGGATAAAGTATATTATTACCACCTTGCCGGACCAGTTCTATATCCTATTTAGTCAGGGCCGGTGTCATGAGAAACTAAAAGATTATTCACAACAGATTTCCAAATTGTGGAAAATGGAGGGAAATTTTTAACTTTTTAACTACATTTATACAAGCAGACTTGCCAACCTCCCATTTTTTAACGGGAATCTCCCGTAAATATTTTGTTTTTCCGTAAAAAATACCAAACTCCCGTACCGTTTTCTCCCGTAAAAACTTCCGTACCGTATTTCTACTAAAATCTCCCGTAATTTTTCTTAAAAATATGGCCGTAAAATCCCCCGTATTTTTGCTGAAATCTCCCGTAAAATCTCCTGTATTCTGGTATAACTCCCGTATTCTTGGTATAACTCCCATAAAATCTCCCGTTTTCTGGTATAACTCCCGTAAAATCTCCGTTTTTTGCTGTCGAAATCTACCGTATTTAAAAGAAATTTGACAAATTTGTGACCTTGATTATTACAGGCACGCTTCTTTCTTTTACTCCAAGAAGGATTGGCTCCCATGGTTCACTATCGATACTTTCATAAATAACTTAAAAGTACTTCATTCCCATGATTCAAATTGCTTTTCTGCGATCAGTTCGATATAAGTTTGCACACCAAATGTCCACAAACAGGGGCCAGTTCATATTCTGTCATACTTCTGTCGGGAGAATACATTTTGTTTTTATATGGCGCTAAACAAAATATTCCCCCAATATAAGGCGCATTATGGGTAGGGACTGCTGTGAAATAATGAACGTAAGTGACATCTATCTTAGATATAAGTTCTAATTAATTTATTAACTGCGCATGCGTCATAATAATTTCAACTAATTAAATCATTGGATTAATGCTCATGCGCGAAAAACCGAACTTAAAAATGGAACCTCACGCAGATTGCCCTTGGCATATAGTGAACGCCACATATACATTTTACTTAGCTTTGATCAATTCGTTTCCAAAGTAATAAAAACTCCTGTTTTTTCAAAATCTACCATAAAAACTCCTGTTTTTCAGAAATCTACCGTTAACTCACTTTTTTTCAAAATCTACCGTAAAAACACCCGATTTTTCAGAAACCTACCGTAAGAACTCCCAGTTTTTTCAAAATCTAAAGTAAAAACTCCCATTTTTCAGTCTAACGTAAAAATTCCTGTTTTTTCAAAATCTGCCGTAAAAACTCCCGTTTTATCCGAAATCTACCGTAAAAACTCCCGTTGTTCCGAAATTGACCGTAAAAACTCCTGTTTTTTCTGAAATCTACCGTATAAACTCCAGTTTTTTCAGAAATCTAGCGTAAAAACTCCCATTTTTTCAGAATCTACCGTAAAAACTCCAGTTTTTTCTGAATCTTCCGTAAAAAAGTCACGTTTTTTTAAATTTACCGCGAAAAATACCTTTTTTAAAAAACTCCTGCAAAAACTACCATGTTTTGAAAAAAAACTCCCATAAAAGTACCGCAATTTTTTTTAAATCTCCCGAAAATTTTTCATTTTAGGTTGGCAAGTCTGTACAAGTCTAGTGCAAAATTCACCAATAATACTTGTATCTTTTTAATTAATTATCAATTGTGTATTACTCTTAAATAAATGTATGATGATTCAGTCAAGCATATTGAGTGCAGCTGCGACTGCAATATGGAGGGAAATTTGGTAATTTTTACTTTTAATTTTGGCCGCTCGTGGCACCCCTGATGTCAACTTTAGCCTTTAACTCCACAAGAAAAAAAGGTTTTTCAATCAAATGGTTTTATATTGTTAGGAAATGATTTATCTTTAAAATGGTATATAATACCATTTATCTTTGTAATGAGTTAGTTCTTAAAATGAAAAAATAGTACTAAATTCATCTAAGATTGTGTTAAGTCCATTATATTTCCTCATACATATAACTTATTACTATCCATTAGTTTCACTCCCTGGCTTTCACTTGTTTAGTCATTCAAATTGTGTACATTTTAAGTCTCTGGATCTTTAAACACTCAACAGCAGGATGACGTTATGGGTGAAAATTAGGTCAACACCTTTTAGTAAATTGATTGGTTCAGCTGATATTAGCCTGATACTACGATATCATATCAATCTATGCACACTTCTTGGGGACAATGCACACCTGTCATTGTGTTCAAAAATACCTATAATGTGTATCATGGATTATAACGTTTACACTACACTTCTTAAAAGAGAACTTCGTCTTTACTCTTTCAGTTTACAATAAATTTTTGATCTCACCGAGCCAATTGGGAGTTTGTCGTCGAAATATGGACAATTTTCTATTTATGGTCATTTCCTCTGACGTAATCGCATAGTTAAAGCAGATATGAAATGGTATTATTAACCTAAAGGAATCAATATGATTTTTTTGATAAATGAATTTGGACAAGTTTTCTCATCAGAGGTGTGAAAATTATTTCACTCTAACGATCGTTATAGCTGCTTAATAACTGAATAAGCAATATTCGAATTGGTTGTGACGTTATTGGCCCCCACGTGGTCTCTCACTGGCCCGTTTTGGTCCATTAGATCATGACGTCATAATGCCAAAATGTTTTGTTATTTCTTTACACAACAATCCTATGGTTGCCGTTACATTGTGATTACTAAGGAACCAACTAGAATAACAGCAACTCCACGGAGTAGCAAATCCCACCGAACAAAACATATTATGCTTATTATAGCTAGTGTAAAGGTTGAAATGTTTGTGCACTTTGTGATAGAAGCATGAAATTTGGCACAAAGTTAGTTTATACCATTGTGAACTAGGCATCATCATATAAAATTTGAACCAAATCCGTTCACTGGTATTTGAGTTATCAAAGATTATGTTTTTTATGAAAATTTGCCGCCATCTTGAAATTCAGCCGCCATCTTGACAATTATTTCTTGAACAGACCTACTGTGTCCCTAGGCATAATCATACAAAATTTCAACCAAATCTGTTCACTGGTATTTGAGTTATCAAATATTACGTTTTTTACAAAAAATTGCCGCCATTTTGAAATTAAGCGGCCATCTTAAAAATCTCTTTTTGTGTGAAACTCCTTTGTCCCTAGGCATCAGCATACAAAATTTGAACCAAATCCGCCAACTTGTATTTGAGTTATCAACGATTACATTTTTTACGAAAAATGGCAGTCATTTTGAATTGAGCGACCATATTGAAAATTCCTTCTCGAGCAGAAGTCCTACACTCATAAGGCATAAGCCTATAAAATTTGAACCAAATCTGTCAACCGGTATTGGAGTTATCGCCCGGACACACAGACAAACGAATGGACGGACGAACAGACGGACGGACAGCTTCTCTATATCCTCCTCGAACTTCGTTCGGTGGGATAATAAACCAAAGCTAAATTTTGTATATGACGTTACTAATCACGTGGGGGACAATTTGATTGATCAGTTAATTTTATTTCGTTATCTATAACCGTTAGCAGTTATCTAACATTTATTTTATAATGGCTATCGCAAGAACTCTACGTTTGGCTTACAATGGAGAAAACCGCATTTTTGTAGCTGCAAGTTGAGAAAAGCTATTTCAGTTGTCCTTTAATGAGGACATATTTAGCACGCATCCTTCCAGCTGTCACGGGTACCAGTCATGGGAGCAGGCTGCTACACTAAACTGTAATTTAGTCTATACTAGGCAGAGGGTAGTTTATAACTAGACTCTGCGCGCAGGGTAACTGGTTCCTTTTGGGTTATGAGGAATGTATCTCAAAATTTGCTTGTGGGATGCCCATAATAGCAGATGTAATGTTTTAATAAAGGTAAACATATTCCTTGCATCTTTCTTTATCTTGATGTGAAATAACAAGCTATAATATCATTGAATAAGACAAAAATGAACATTATTGGAGACATCTTTGCAATACTTTGAATCAGCCATTTTGTTTCTGTTAGCTTCTGATCAATAAATATCATTTGATCAATCAGTGACAAGGATACATGGGATATAGTTGGGTGTGTCAGTCATAGACTGATAATAAAAAAAGGGTTCATCTTTACATGAAGATAGATCCATCTTTGAATTTTTGGGTTCGATTGACTGAATATGACAATATACATGCATTTAAATTCATTTATTGTTTTAACTATTCACTTTTTGAAATGCTCTGTGACATTCTTATTTGCATTAGCTTTAATGTCCACTGATTTATTGTCTGTTGCTATTTTTGTTACTGCAATGTCTTTTTGAGTTTTTAAAATCTTAGCTTCTCTTTGTATTTCAAAAATGGCTGCATCTCTTTCACGCTTTACTTGACGTTTAGCTTTCTTTTCTTCCATTTCCTCCACATGTTCCGCAAATATTCCTGTCAAAGCTGATTTAAAATGTGGCAGCACTGTCAGGTCATTTGGGGTAACCTGGAAACAAAGTGTTGAGGATAAGACAAGGCTTCATAGCTTTTCATTAGGCTATGACATTTTAGAACTCACAAATGTCTTTTGTAGTAGTTTCAGACAGCATATTCTTGATACATTCTTAACATGTGACTTTCATGTCCACATTTCTTAAAATCAATAGGACTTGAGAAAAAATATTTAATTTATATTGCTGTTAAGGATAAGAATTAGGTGAACATGCTCTATACAAACTAGATCAAATACAAATTATATTTTTAAAACATTTGTGAACTCTGTGAAGCGGGGTGGGTGCTTATTAGGGGTCGGTCCTTAATACGGCGATTAAGGTATAATAATATATATCCTTGTCTTAGAGCATAATCCCCAGAACAAAATAAAATGTAATCGTTTTCAATACAATCATCTGTGCAGATGTTGATATGTGGCCAATGTAATCTGAGATTCTGACATCTTCACACATGTACTGTAGTTTATTCACCATATTTGCCCCAATATTGTATGACTGAGAGAAAATCTACATACCTTCATGTTGTCGAAGGCTATACCAACATGTTCTGAGAATTTCTCACTGAAGAGAGGTATTTTAGCATAGCGCTGACTGAAATGTGTGAGTATAGTGAACTTGGCCTTCATCTTCCTGCCGATGTCAATAGCCTGGCTAGTAGTACTGGAATCAAACAATACATCAACTCTGTATTTATGGAGTGAAATTCAATAGGATTAGAATTCATTCATTTTTTCACCTCAAGTCATTTCTCACCTACTGTAGATACACTTAATTTGGCTACCATTTTAATTTGACGGATTTGTGGATTGAAAAATCCGCCAAATTAAAAATAGGCCAATTTTCAGATCTACTTTGGAAAATCCCTAGAGAATTTGTAATTTGCAATTATTTCACTGGTGCATGTATTTCTATTTGGATGTCAGTGCTACACCAAGATTAACTGAAAGCAGACCACATGACTCTTAAAGTGTTTATTTCCAGATCTATGATAAAACTTGAGCTCAGACCTGACTCAGCCAGATTAAAATAGCCGCAAATATTTGAAATTGAACAAATCCGCCAAATAAAGTAGCGTCAAGTGTTTTTACAGTACTTAAGATATTTAACACTAAAATGGCTGCCATTTGGAAACCACTGGGTACTTTGAACTCAGTTTTTGAATGAACAGAACTTGCAAGTTTTTCTACCACTGTATAAAGTTATCTTCCCCGATCAAAGATTTCCCTCATTATTTTTTTCATTTCAGTCTTCTACCTGTGTCTCTTGAACTTTGCTTCTTTTACCAAATCATCTTCCATTGTGGCCTCATGTATCAGGATATCACACTCCTTACCTGCAATATATATATTTTTATATTTCCTTGGTTTATTCATTCATGAGCATCATAACAAAATCAAAACCTTAGATTTATTCTGCCTTTTGCCTAATCACGCCTGGTGATTGGAAGAAATGGACGGAGAGAAAGTTTAAAATTGAATTACCAAATGAATAGGCGCAGTTGCATCAACATAGTATCAACCTACCTATATCTACCAGACTTTCACAAGGCATTGTATCACCAGAATAACAAAGTTTCCAGCCATCCTTGTGTGTGAATGATGATCCAAAAGCATTCCTGCAATGCACTACCTCAGTAGTTTCAAACTGCAAGGACAAAAATATTCACATCAGTAAAAACCTATGCAAATTTCAATTACTCCGGTTCAAATCAAGTGAATAGTGATTTATCCGTGCAAAACATTTTTTCAATGGCTAGCTGGAAAATTGTCATATTCTATTTCTTCTGAATTTGATAAGTTAACATTTGTACTTCTTAGTACATGAGTGATGACAGCAAACAAATATTCAACTTTGAGGAGGGATATTTTAGAATCACAAATACTGTACAGCTGTAGTTACCTTTTCCAAATTGAGAAGTTGTTGAAGCTGCATTCTAGTGTCTTGGTTATAGGCATCAGATCCTTCAACCATTTCTTGCAGGGGCAACACTCTAAAACAAATTAAAAAGCTGATAAATAAATAAAATTGATTAATGAAATACAAAGGGTACAAGTATGGATATTGAAAACATATTTAACAGTTATGTTCCTATCATTGAATATATGCCTGAGGTCTGTCATCAATATAGCCCGAGCTTGCGAGACCGAAGGCATAAAAATATCTGACTTATTTTTTATAAAATGATCTAGTTTTTGGGAAAAAAACTTCTAAAATGGGTGTAAGAAAACAATATGGCAGAAATCAAAGAATTAAAAGACATAAAGCTCTGGATCAACATGAGTACGAAATGTATTTTAAAAATAATTTTCAATAATTGAACTGTCCATTGACTTTGTACATGAAAAAGCTCAATTAAAATTACACCAAATTTTTGTAAAACTTATACATGTATATACTTGTATAATCTCAAGAAATTAAAATTATATGTTGGTGTAATAAAAAAGATTTCCTCTTACTTAACATCCCATTTCAAGTGTTCAATGTTATAGTGTACAGAGTTGAACCAACGCCTTAGGTTCCATGGTCCAACAATGAGGAGTGGCGTTACATCCTTGTTTTTCTCTTTAAAAGCTTCTTTCCTAGCTTTTACTAGAGTTATAAGGCCCTGTAATGTAAGAACCCAAATAATGCAGTGGGACGTGGGCGAGTTATCAATGAATCCAATGGGCTATTCTATAAATTTAGCATCCATATATCTATGAAATTTAGTGAATATCCATAAAATAATAATAAGTATAGACAACAGTTTCCTCTAATCAAAATCTTAAAGAGAACAAGTATATGATAATGGTCATGACAGAATGTTTTTCAAACACTTCTCACCAAGTGATGATCAGCATGCATATGGGACACATAGAGACAACTTAATCTTCTCAGGACACTGTTTGCTTTGTTGGCATAGTGACGATAAATCTGTCCTGCTGTCCCCTCACCGGAGTCTAACAGTATAGTTTGCTCCTTACTAAAACAAACACAGTGAATAAACATAGAGTAACTCAGACAGAACTGATTAGGATATGCTATGTCTGATATTTTCTTTGTCAAAAAGCAATCTAATGGCCTCATCCTAAAACATTAAGGAGACATGCCTCCTCAAAAGAAATGGAACTTTTAAATCAACAGTTTATAATTATGGGAAATATATTTATACAAAAAGAACAATACTTTCAAATATACATGTACATAAATGTATAACAAAGTGAGCATTTGGTTTAAATTAATATAAATACTTCATACTAGAAAATATTTTACAATGCATAGAGGTAATGTTTACTGCGAGGGATTGATTATAGATTTTATACCCAGCGCCAATTTTCCCTGAGGATTTTTTTCTATATAAATTATAATAACATATATATTATGTTACCGATGGATACTAAATATATATGGGGATAACAAAACAAGATAATTTTGGTATGTGTCACTAAAATCGTATCCGATCCATATGACGTGATATCCAATCGTATCCGACAGATACTACTTAAAAAATATTTTTAAATTCTAAAATTAATTCGGAAATTTTTTAATAATTGAAAACATAAATTTCTAAAAAAAATTTTGATAACCACTTGTCTGTTTGACAATATAGTTCCAAGTTATGTGCTCAGTAAAAATGAGTTACATTTTTTCATGCAATCATTTTGTAAACAGAAAATAAAATGAAAAATTAGAAAAGAATTAGAAAACAACAACTTTAAGGTATTTTTCCATTGTAGGTTTTTATACATGTTATTCCATTTCAACATTACATTTGGACATATTTTCTCATTTTTTATTATAGAGGCTTGAAAATCTCTGGCCTTTGACTTATTAATGATACAATTGTTAAATTTCAAAATTTTGCTAGTATTTCTTTTTATAATACTTATTTTCTGTATGGCATTTTTTATCACGTTATACTCTAACTGTAACCCTGCATTATTTTGCATGAGGTTTCTCAAATACTCAATTGGATGTACATGATTATTCTCGTCTATTATATCAGACACTGTATTCAATCCAGCATCTTTCCAACTTTGAAAATATATCACATTTTTCCGATAAGAAACGTTTCTGTTGTTCCAAATTATATCTTTATTTGAAATTGCCTTACTCACCTCTTTCTTAAACCAACATTTTACTAAAAATGTGTCAAATTCAGGGATATTTTCATCCTGAGGCCTTGGTTTTATGTCTTTGAAATAACAATCATACAGGAAAAAGTTTAGACCATGTCCCATTCTATTTAAATATAAGTTACTAAGTAACTTCCATGCTGCATCATCTGTACTATACAGCCTATTTACCCATGTCAATACAAGAGCTTCCTGACTAACATTTATGTCTGTCATTCTAATTCCCCCATCTTGATAATCTTGCCTTAAAGTATTTCTTTGAATTTTCTCTGTTCCTTTACCAGATTTTTGCCATATAAATTTATAAATAAGGGTGTTTATTTTTCTCAAAAATTCCTCTGGAGCTTTGAACACTAATAGTAAATGTGTAACCTGTGATGCAATAAGCGATTTAACTAAACATACTTTTCCAAGAAAGGACAAGTTTCTTTTATCCCAATTTTTAATTATTGCTTCTATTTTATCAATACGTGGTGCCCAATTTTCTGATATAGTAGCAGCTGATTTTTGGTTTGAAAAGAATACACCCAGTATTTTTAAATGTTCATCTTTTCTGGTTATCCAATTCACATTACATGGTTTATTAGTGTTATCCTTATATCTCCCCAACCACATTGCTTTGTGGAATAACATGTATAAAAACCTACAATGGAAAAATATATGGGGACACATAGGCAGAATAAAAGAAACAAAAATCAGATCATTACAATATAAAATAATACATCAGGTGTACCCTACGAATATTCAATTAGAAAAATGGAAACTAAGTAACACCAAGAAATGTAAATATTGTGTAGAAGAGGAGGATACTTATGAACATTTTTTTATTAAGTGTCACCAAATAAAAAGAATTTGGGATGATGTTAAAACAGTGTTAAAAAGAAAATATGAAAATATTACTTTCACTGATGTAGATGTACTTTTATTTTATGAGAACAAAAAAAAATCTGTACAAGATTATGTAAATCAAGTCATACTTATCGCAAAACACTGCATAAGCAAGTTTAAATATGGAGAACATCCAAATATATCATTTCTATTTCAAACGAACTAGAAATGAGAAAATTATTGTGAAAATTTTTGTATTTTGTTGTATTTTCTTCTAATACTCCTGCTGACTTATAACTCTGTATTGTATAATGTTGAAAAGGAAATAAGAAAAAAAACTTTAAGGTATAATTATTCTAAATCCATACAAAATTAGCGACCATAGGATAAATATTGATATCCTATGATTTTCTCAGCTGTCATTTTTATCTTGGATATCGCCGATCTCCACTCATTTGCTGCGCTCACTCATGGATAAAAATGGTATCCCTCAAAAATCATAGGATATCCTCTATTCACCAGGGAGCAATAGTATCATGCTTTAAATTCATATACCTCATGTGCACCAGTATTGCGCTAACATTTCTTGCTTTATTTGGCACAGCAGATCCAGTTCCTAGAAAGACTATCTCTGGGTATTCTCTATTTATTGTTGTATCTCTTGGATGTGCACCTAGCAGGCTCAATGTCTTGTTAAACAGTGCATCAAACCCTGGTTGATCTCTCACTTCCTGTTTGTAAACCTCGTTCTCTATTACAGGACAACAATCTCTAAAAGTAATGCATGTTTATGAACTTAGCATGGTGATGTGGTATGTGGTGTGTAAAACCAAATAAAATACTGAGTAGTCACATTTGTAATATTAAAGATGAGTTGCCAGCAAGGGTTTTGGGAAGTCTGGTGCCGTCTTATTAGATATAATTTTTGTTTTGTCCCATCCCTAGTTCAAGTACATTCTCCCTCACCTATCAAAGCCTGTATGGGGTCTTATATGGTATCTGTGTCCACAGTCCCCAACAGTTACATTGTCAGTTGAATTCAGCTGCAAGTACAGAAAATTACCCTAAACAAACAACATGGAAACTACTGAGCCTTGAACAATCACAGTGGGGCAATTGCTACAATGGTGACCACCATGAATTGGCTGAAAATGGATAAAACCACCATTAGATTTAGTCGGACACTATTTATGTCTGGGATTTTTGTGTCTCTTGGGGCAAGTGTCCCATGGGGAGGGTGACATAAGTGGTTTGGCATCATCCAAGGGAAAAGACGCATCAAGGCTGCTGTTAAATTCAGCTCATATATGGTAAAACCTTCCACTTGGACAGCCCTACCAAGTCAAATCTGTACCCAAAAGTACTATACTGCACTGAGTAGCCATAACAAAAACTTGAATATTTAGGGTATCACCCAGAAAAACATTCCAACAAGGAACAAATGGCTTCTTCATATCCCTACATTATATTTATATTTGTTTGTTTGTTTGTTTGGTGAATAATTAGGTCCACCAATAAGCTACTATAAATCATCCTTTACATTTGTGATTGCAAGTATTCCATCCCACTTACTTTTGTTGATGAGGCTGTAGAAATATCACACTGGTGTGGCAGCAGGGGGAAGATACGTTCATCCATCATATTAAGAAGAGATTGAAGCTTATACACCCCTATACCACTAACTTCTGTACCTGAACCATCCAGTAATAGATGCTGGGTAGATTTAGGGAAGCTGGAAAATCAAATTTGCATGTACAAACTATAACGGACAATGTTTATATAAAAACTAGATTGCCTAAAAATTAATTGGGCCTTAATTTCTACAAGGACCGAAAAATTATATAAAACTTTCACAGTTTGCAATGAAACATGTTCATAAGATTTCACAAGATTATTCTTCACAAAAATTCCCATGTATTTTATGGTTGTCTATCGACACTCATCCTTGAACCTGATTTCACTAACCTATTCATAAATTGTTGATACTTAGGATGCTGAACGATACGTGATGGTGACATGTGTACGACAACAGCAGCTGCAACATCCCCACCTATCTGATATTTCTTCAAATCTTCATTCTTAAGAAAAGCATCTAAAAAGTCTTCTTTGGGACACTCAAGCACTGAAATGAAATGCAACACATTTCAACATTATTATCTACTGGAATGAAAATATTTCAACATGAGTTTTTTACACAATATCGCACTTTCAAGAACAAAATGGCCACCGTGTTATTTACCCAGCATGCCCAAAACCTAATCAGATCTTGGTGCTAGTCTGGTCTTGCATCTATAAACACTTCAAATGGAACAGCTAAGCATCTTCAAGAAAGTTTTATGACAAGATTTATGTGCAATAAAAATTCACATAAATGTTTACCTGAAAGTGAACTATGCCCAAAAGCTTTTCAGTCCTAGATTTTCACATGAAGAAGCATCCCTGAACATTTCAAATCAATGCAAAGCATCATATGCCTCTGTTGTGATGTAATGTGTGTAGTAAAACTGTAGTGAAGATGCTATACAGTGTAACTTATGTGGTAGAACTTACAGCTTACCAATGAAGGGGACAGATGGGGAGTCAGGACTAAGTATGTCATCTGGGTGAATCACTCTGCCATCTGGCAGGGTTACTGTCTTCCCATCCTTCAAATCTCGGATATGAGGTCCCCTACAAGTAAACAGTAAGGGATTAGACATTGCTTGAATGAGATCAAACAACCAATAAGGCATCAGTTATAAGACATTAATAAAAAAAACACCATAGAATTCAAGCAAAACAATATCAAGTTTAGTTTAACTGTTTATCAGGGAGAGGACACCAATGATCTCTGGAGTACAACCTTGTTATACTGATTTGGTGAACCACCTTTTTAGGTCTTTTTAAGTCTTGAAAGTGAAGATTTTAGGACAGAAAATCCAAAATGGCCACCTTAAAATTTACCCAGAATGCCCAAAAACTGATCAGTTCTTGACGTTGATATGTAGAAACATCCCTGAAAATTTCAGATGAATCCCTCAAAAGGTTTGGCTGGAAACCTGTAGACAAGTCTTGAAAGTAACGATTTTAGGACGGAAAATCCAAAATGGCCACCTTAAAATATACCCAGAATGCCCAAAAACTAATCAGTTCTTGACGTTGATATGTAGAAACATCCCTGAAAATTTCAGATGCACTGGTGATTCACTCGATTACGCTGGTTACCAAAACGAACCGTTTTGGTAACAAAATGTCGGAACGTCGAAGGCACGATTTTTCTTTTTTCCTTATTTCACACGTTGTAGGCAGAATCCCCACGACATTTTTTCTCACAACGTGCATCAGTATCATATGTTTTAGAAAATGTACATGTTTGCGAAAAATAGCTCAGAGGACAACAGAATCGTCGATTTACTTCCTCACTTAAGTTACATAAACGGTTTTTCGAAAAACTTTTAACCCAAACCGTTTATGTAACTTGAGTGAGGAAGTAAATCGACGATTCTGTTGTCTTCTGAACTATTTGTTCGCAAATATGTACACTTTCTTAAACATATGATACTGATACACGTTTGTGTTAAAAAATGTCGTGGGAATTCTGCCTACAACGTGTAAAATAAGGAAACAAGAAAAATCGTACCTTCCGGATGTTCCGACATTTTGTTACCAAAACGAACCGTTTTGGTAACCAGCGTAATCGAGTGGATCACCAGTGAGATGAATCCCTCAAATGGTTTGGCTGGAAACCTGTAGACAAGTCTTGAAAGTGAAGATTTTAGGACGGAAATTCCAAAATGGCCACCTTAAGATTTACCCAGAATGCCCAAAAACTAATCAGTTCTTGACGTTGATATGTAGAAACATCCCTGAAAATTTCAGATGAATCCCTCAAATAGTTTGGCTGGAAACCTGTAGACAAGTCTTGATAGTGAAGATTTGAGGACGGAAAATCCAAAATGGCCACCTTAAGATTTACCCAGAATGCCCAAAAACTAATCAGTTCTTGACGTTGATATGTAGAAACATCCCTGGAAATTTCAGATGAATCCCTCAAATGGTTTGGCTGGAAACCTGTAGACAAGTCTTGAAAGTGAAGATTTTAGGACAGAAAATCCAAAATGGCCACCTTAAGATTTACCCAGAATGCCAAAAAACTAATCAGTTCTTGACGTTGATATGTAGAAACATCCCTGAAAATTTCAGATGAATCCCTCAAATGGTTTGGCTGGAAACCTGTAGACAAGTCTTGAAAGTGAAGATTTTAGGACAGAAAATCCAAAATGACCACCTTAAGATTTACCCAGAATGCCCAAAAACTAATCAGTTCTTGACGTTGATATGTAGAAACATCCCTGAAAATTTCAGATGAATCCCTCAAATGGTTTGGCTGGAAACCTGTAGACAAGCTGAAAAGTGAGACGCCGCCCGCCCGCCCGCCCGCCCGCCCGTCAAGCTGACTACAATATCGTACCTTTTGTTAGGTACGATAATAAAAATGACATAGAGTCATTCAACAGGTGGAAGGTTCCTGAGAATATTGGACACTCCTTTTTAAGCATCAAAGATTGAAAAGTTATTGCTGTCTACTAAAGAAATAAGCGTGGACTTACATGGGAAAGTTAAGTTGCATACACTTGTCAACATCAACACTTCTTTGTTTCTGATGGGGCTGTAATAAACATACATCTGTTAAATGTTTTCATTTACATCACTGCAGATCTAGAAGGTAAGAAGGGGGCCCAAATTCTGCCCAAAAAGATCAATTTTTGAGGCTCTACAAAATGTCCAGAAATTGTCCAGAATTTTCTGGGCCCACAAAGAGGGGGGAACCAGGCCCCACCCCCTGGATCCGCCAGTGTACATGCCACACACTTTAAGAATCTGTTTTCACCCTGTTAAAATGTTCATGCATAAGACCTCGCATTGACTTGGTAGATGAGACAGCTTCCTTAAAATCGAAATGACCAGAAATAATGATGACAGGTGAAATAGATAATATAATTTGTTTGACATAAATATTGATCAATGAAAATAGCAGTTTTAATTTGGACCACCAACATTGACTGACAAACACCTTGCCAATCCAACAGGCTCATCATGTGAGCCAAACATTGCATTCTTTATGAAAAATGCCAGGTGTTTTGAATTGAATGGCCTTTTAGAAATTCTTATTAGCCTATAGGACCAAATCCAGTATCTAACTTCAGTATCTAATTTCTCAAGACCAAAAAATAGATGAATGAAGTGGGGGGGGGCTTCTCTATATTCCTAATTCACTTCGTTTGGTGGGATAAAAACACAGAATGCATTATAATATTGTTTCAAACATCAAGTGTTTGTTTAGAATTCAATAATATATACCGTGCATATGTAAGCCACTGTGACATCTCTCATATCTTTCAATGACTGGTCATCCTTGCCTCCAACGTCACTATCTGTTGTCACATCTACAACTTCTGTCACATCACTTTGATGATCTTTCCCTCTACTAACAGTGACAACTTCATCTTCACATTTCACTGAATTGCTTGAACTTTGTTCTTTTCCTTGTAAAGAATCAGCTTTTATTTCAATTTCATGGTCAGCTTTTGTAGAAATAGTTTGTTCTTTTTGTTTCTGTTCAGAACATGTATTTATTTGACTGTCTTCACAGTATATTGGCACATACTGTACATGGAGACCAGGGTCTGTGAATGGGCCATGGCGCAGCTCTTTCTTTACTGCAATAAACATAAAAAATGTATTTACTGAATCTAAGATTTGGCAATGCCTTTGCCACTGTAGCAAAGCACATCCTGTTTTTAAATAAGCATCACAGATAAAGGAGAAATTGCCAAATATCATGCTTAGGAATTCATGATGTGAATTATTTGAAGCATTTATAAAGAAATTATTTTAGATTTTTGTCTGTAGTACAGGCAACTATTTTAATTAATAATTAATTATTACATAGGGCTGTTGTGATGGCTATCTTGGAAACTCAAAATGACAGCCCAAAGTGTATTTCTTTGTATTCAAACTGTGTGACATTTTAGGATAAGAAGGTTCTGACAGTTTTGAGTTTATTTTTTGGATGGTTTTTAGTTGGGCAAAAGAAGTTGAGCTTCTTTAATACATGTTTATTAATTATACAGTATTTGTCCTTTTTAGCTCACATGGTGAGCTATTGAGATCACTCACTTGTTATTCTTAGCTTATCTCTTTTACACTATGATAAAGTAACCTCTTTATGTTCTGTACTGACCTATGTCCATGTGAGCAATTGGTGCAAAACCTCTAGACTCTGTAATGATCTTCTCCTATAATATAAGAAAATCTAAAATTTACATCCCGTCCCTCTTAGCTATCCTAAAATATCTCACTCACATAGTTTTGTAGTTCACTTTTGAGAATACTGAATCAAAAATAAAATATATAAAAATGAAATTCTATAGTCAATTTTAAACAGAACCTTATCAATTTCTGTAAAATAAAATGAGGCAAAAGAAATAGCTTGGGCCTGGAGTGGCATAATTTCCCAGGATGACCTATTTTGATCCTCATACAAGAATTAGTTCAGACAATAGAGATCATAGTATCACCCGCTGAAACAAAAAGGAGACACAAATCTCGCAATAACATACCACATCTGGAGGTCCATGAAATGTAAAGTTGGGAACTTTCATGTCAGCAAGAGAGAGGCACATTCCCAGAAGTCCCCCAAGGTTTTCCCAGCTCTTGTATGTGATGAACGCATGTTCAATACGGGACACTTTCAGACTGAAAATAATGAATTTACCCAGGTGGTTAATATTCTCATGTGTTTTATTACTTATGAATATAAAATATTCATATTTCTGACATGAAGTTAAGAAAAATAAGTATAAATATCTCAAAATACAGATTTTGTAAAAGTCTTTAGGTGACACATTTCTCCTTCAGTTTTATGTATCAGAACATGTGAGCTTTAAAGTATAACAAATTAATGTTACAGACTTATATGTTACAGTTCCTTTTTCATCCAGATTAAAATGACCATATAAAGTGATATGGTAAAACCTAATAATCTAATAATCCGATTGATGTTTAATCATTTACTGCACTTAAGTTGAAGATTAGATATTGTTCTGATGTAAAATGTGGAATGTATACTCAAGAAAAATACCACTTGTCAAAAATAAAGCTGACCAAATTTGTGTACTTTAACATTACTGATTCTTTTCCCTCTGGTTGTACAATTCTCTAATGTCTGTAATGTATCAGAAAAACCTTTCAGTGAAAGCGCATTATCAGTTTAAGGGATGCTGATATAAATAATAAGTATAAGTAAAAGTATACTCATAATTTTACTTACTTTTTGTATTCATAACAAATCCGCTGGGTTGATTCTCCACAGTTAAATAAATATCTGAAAATATAAAACATGTAATAATTCAAAGATAAAAGATAACCATCCATATTTATATATATTTTATATAGGAGTGGTAAGGACTAGTTTTATCTAGATGTGAGAAAGTTATTTTTATTGTCCCAAGAATACTACACGTAAGTGAAAATAACAATTCTCTGACATATAACTGGGTCCCTAGTCACCTTGGTACTTTTGGTAATGATCTTGCAGATATATGCCAAGAAAGCAGCAGAGGAAGCAGCGTCCCTGCAAGACACCACTACAACACAAAGTAAGGAAGAATCCTACAGGGGCACCAGAAGAACTGCATTAGTTAAATGGCAGAAAACATATGAGAGCTCTTCCAAGGTAAAACACACCCAGGAAGTTATTGACACTGTAGGTACCAACAACAACTTACTTGAAAACAGAAGAGGTGACTTCTGTAAAATCAAATCTGAACAGTCACATTGCGAAAATAAGACCTGTTATTATTTCCATGCCGTGATACTTGTTCTATCATTGGTCAATTAGATACCATGTGACTAAAAATATAAAGAGGTATTCCAGGTCTCCCTGCTTAGAAAACATGTGAAGAGTGTATTCACCGGCAGTGACATCATTTTTAGTGAATACCACTATATATTCAATTATAAAATGATGTCACATCACTTAATTCCGGGGAATTTAGTAAAAAGTATTTTCATCCGATATGATAGACGGTAAAGTTGTATCAGGAAGTCCTCCCAAGAAAAGTCAACGTGTAATAATGACAGAAATGATTATATATGTCAGTATATAGAGTCCATTTCACTGTTTAATTGCGTCAATAAAACCTAAAAATTAAGAAATCAAAATATCATTATGCAATAATATATGGAAAAATATATTCCTATTGTACATGAATGACATTTGTATATCTTGGATTGCTTCTAGTGGCTTATAAACTGTGTGGCCTCTTATATTTGGATGCTTCTCTGCCATGTTATTTTCAATAAGATTAACATGGCTGAAATTCTTCAAATTACAAGAGGGCACAGGCTTATTGCACAAAAAACTAAAAAATCTGAAATACACAAATGCCATTCATGTACAATATGAATATACTTTTCCATATATTATTGCATAGTGGTCTCCCGATTTCTTATTTTTGGGGTTCTACTGACGCAATAAAACAGTGAAATGGACTCTAGGCTACATCAAGCAGATTTCTCATATTTTTTAGTTTTTTAGTCAAAGTCAAGTTAAGTTTTCTTGGGAATATTGTGCTGAGATACGTCCAGAATGAACCAGACGAGGGTCTGATTTTGAAAATTTTCTGGGAGTATGACCTCCGACCCCCCTAGATTGCGCTTTGTGTGCGGTACGCTTCACGCAAAACCCATCCATACCCAAAAGTCACCCCCTCCCTTAGCAAATCCTTCTGACGCCCCTGTAAGTAGATTCAATTTTTCTTCCTGACCATACTGCCTTCACTTGTCATGTTTGGCTGATTTCATAATGTAACCTAGGGTGCCGGAGGACGTAGAACATACTGGTAAGTAGATATGGGGTAATAGCATATCATTTTCTTATTTTTGTAAATAAAACTTCTAAATGGAATATTTACTCCGACTTAAGGTCTCATGGAAGTTAACAGGAAATGACTAAACAAAAAATGACAAAGCCATGCTGGATTTTGAAAATTTTTTGAACCAAGATAACAGAGTTCTGTTTGGACCTCCAGTCAGTCTAACTAGTTCCACATATCATTTACATGACCGGGAACACAGTTGAAATGGTCAGAATGACCATAAACATGATAGAATAACCTTTTCAGCCCTCTGAAAATGTGACTAAAAAATAGCTAAGAGTAGGTGCTCAGGAAAGGTCACTGAACAGAATATTTTGACTTTTTCAGAAAATGTGCCCAATATATTGCTCTAAATGATACAATTCAAAAAAAATTGATATCATTCTTAGAAAAAGAAAAAATTGAAAAAAACTGAATTGAAAATCGATCTATTTTCCTTTTTACTACAGCCATTATTGTTTCAGACGATTTTTTAAAATTTCAAAGATTGTGTCATTTAGAGCAATATATTGGACACATTTTCTGAAAAAATCAAAAGATTCTGTTCATTGACCTTTCCTGAGCACCTACTTTTAGCTATTTTTCAGTCACATTTTCAGAGGGCTAAAAAGGTTATTTTATCATGTTTATGGTCATTCTGACCATTTCAATTGTGTTCCTGGTCATGTAAATGATATTTGGAACTAGTTAAACTGACTGGAGGTCCAAACAGAACTCTGTTATCTTGGTTCAAAAAATTTTCAAAATCAAGCATGGCTTTGTCATTTTTTGTTTTGTCATTTCCTGTTAACTTTCATGAGACCTTAAGATTTGATAGATACACAACATTGAATCGCAGCTTGCCTTATGTATTCACAATTACCTAGTGTGTGGCGTAATGACCAGGAGTGATCGAGGATTACCCCGTGTCCCATTTCCAAGTACTAATAATTCAATGTGACTAGGTGGAGGAAACGCTCCTCTTTTCTTCTTATAGTTCACATGTTTCAGGCTAATGTTTTTGAGAGCTGCAGTTTCTGACTTTTTTTCTTCCGACTTTTTCATACTGATCAATAACTCTTGCAAACGTCTTGTTGGGTGTGATTTTGAATTCTTCGAATATAGCCTATATAGGTGAGGCCTTGTCCGCACAATATATGAGCTCAAAATTCCATAAATATTCATGAAAACATCAGATAATGATGAAAATTGAGGTAATCCAACAACAGGAAGTTGCACGTTTTGGTACTGCGCATGATCGGGTAAAATCTACATCCGGTAGGAACGTGAAAAATTATTTTTCTCTACAGGTTCTAGAATTCCTGTGGAGTTTCTCAAGACTAGTCTGTTATATTCTCACAAGTCAAACATAGTTCGTACTTCTACCAATTGGTAAGTAGACAGATTGTCCAAAAATCATATTAGATCTAATTGTTGTTTTTTCACGAAATATGTCTAGAAAAACAAACCTGAATTTAGATTATCCAAGCATCGTACAAATTCATCGATTTTGGATTAATTCTTGGATTATCCCACATTGTATCATTACCAAGACGAAATTTATCTGGATCACGGATCATACGAATTCAGCGAAATCGTCTTCGGGTTTCGGATGGTCGAGTACATGTACCTCACTCTAGTGTTGTCACGATTAATCGATACATCGCGATATACATCGCCAAAGCTGGTTCTGGCAATGCATCAATGTCTGAAACAAAACATCGATGTTTTTAAAAAATTTAATTTGCTAAAAATCGCCCTTTCTTATCTTATTTTGACGCAAATTGCTTACCTTTTCCATTCATTTTCAAATGGTTTCTGATATTCTTTCGCTTTAAAACTGTTTTAGCTAGTCGAAATGAACCATTAATCTAAAAAATTACTTTACTTTCATTTCACCGTTACTATGTTCCCGGATGTACCAGCGTACTCTTATTAATTTGTTCTGTTTATCGGTGCATATACATGTCCACTCAGCTGTACTACTCAGTTTTAATTTATTCAAATTAATACTACTAACAGCTGGAATCCGATAATAAGGGTTATTTTATTGTTTAGTGCATTAGCGTTCGGTATTTCAGTGCACTTTTCTCGAACTTTTTCTCGATGTACATCGCGATGTGCATCGATGTTTACTACTGAAAATTGCTGATGCATCGATATACGATTATGGCACATTGCGACAACACTACCTCACTCTCCTAGCAGGGTTAGGAATTTGAATTTTTCATTTTATTCTCCAAAACATGCCAATGAACTAAAGTCAGCACTATCAATGGTATGATATACTCTGCCTTTCTTAGTAAGAGCTAAGATTAGATCTAAGATTCCCTATATTTTTAGAATATAGATCCATTGATAGTGTTGACTGTGCAATGAACCACTGAAGACAGGTTACTGAAAAAAACGGACTATCTCCCATACCGACAATTGTCGGTACTGGAGACTGCCTGAGTGAGTATTTGCTTGGGTACTGACAATTATCGTCACTTTATCGTCTCCTAGTTGGGCCGACATCCGCTTCTTGGTGCGTTTTTTGTGCCTAGAGATACTTTTTACTTCTTTTTCGGACCCAGTTTTTAAATTGTTCTTTTATTTCTTTTTATATCAGTAGCAGCTCAATAAATATTTTGAGCCATCGACGCTATTACAATGATCTGGCTTACCCTCAAAGGCTGGCTGTCTTACTAATTCATGTTTTCCTGATGTTTTTGCAATTTACAACCACAATCCATTCTGTTTACGAAACGATTTGTCTCTAATAAAACTCCGCTGAACTGTGATAAGAAATAAAACCTGTTTCGAAAAATATTGAGTGCAACATTGCTTGAGATTATTTTTTATAGTTGGTTGTTTGTCAATTAGGGTTATTTCCTGCTAATTGATGATTTGCGATCACCGGATGGATTCTATCTTGTAGTGACGTCACAATTAGGCCATTCAGCATTATATGTTTGATTTTGAGAGATTATCTTCTATATTTCATCATGTCTAATATCTTTTCTATATGCATCACACCAATAAGGTGAAATACATGACAACAGTATCCATAAACAAAATTCCTGAATTCTGATCGCAAAAGGTCAATTAACCAGTCACGATTGCCACTTGTTGTTATTTGAAAATAAAACCTATGAGAGGTTAATTATAAATATAAAGTTACAAACTTTTTTGTCATGAGTTATTGTTGCCTGTTGATTGGTGATTATAGGGTCGGGTCGGGTCGTGAGACTGCTCCCCCCCCCCCCCATAACCTGAGACTATCATAGTCTCAGCCATAACCAAGATCCGAAAAAGAAAAGAGCTTTCAAATTGACTTGTAAAACTTGAACTGTAACTCAGTTTAAGGTGTAATTATAGTAAATAGATGCAAGAGGACTGCCCTTAGGAAAAAAAACCATGTTTTTACATGCGTGGCGAAAGAGGGCACATGTTCTTACTTTACTTCACTTTAGTTCGCTTCATTTTGCCCCATGTGTGGCGTGGCATGTTGTTGTAAAAACAAAAGATGTCACTCTTGATTTTACTCCACTTTTACACGGGGCAAACTGTGGCAGAGCATGAACAATGTGGCAAAATCATGTAACTCTTGTCTTGGTTCTACATGACTCCGCCATGTTTTTCCCACTGTGTTTAAGTATGGGGAATCGTGGTTACATGAATTAACATGACTTACTTATGCTCCTTAATTCACCTGGTTAGATGGGGTTTTTTCATTCTATTTTTATTATTTTACATTTCTGACAGTTTTTTAGCATTAAGGAGGCCTAACCAAATAAACTATGAAAAGGCAGATTTTCTTTTGGAAACCAACTTCTCGAGTTAATCATATTTTCATATTCTAAAACTGCATCCATGAACCTGTAGTTAAAGCTGTATATAGTAGAAAAATTGAACCTGTAGTTGAAAGTTTTACAAGTAATTGAACCTATAGTTGAACCTGTAGTTGAGAGTTTTACATGTAATTGAATTAAACCTATAGTTGAACCTGTAGTTGAGAGTTTAACATGTAATTGAATTGAAACTATAGTTAAACCCGTAGTTGAGAGTTTTACATGTTATTGAATTGAAACTATAGTTGAACCCGTAGTTGAGAGTTTAACATGTAATTGAATTGAAACTATAGTTAAACCTGTAGTTGAGAGTTTTACATGTTATTCAATGAACCTATAGTTGAACCCTTAGTTGAGAGTTTAACATGTAATTGAATTGAAACTATAGTTGAACCCGTAGTTGAGAGTTTAACATGTAATTGAATTGAAACTATAGTTAAACCCGTAGTTGAGAGTTTTACATGTTATTCAATGAACCTATAGTTGAACCCGTAGTTGAGATTTTTACATGTAATTGAATATAACCTATGGTTGAATCTTAGATTTCAAACTACGGGTTCGAGTATAGGTTCAATTTTCAACTAAACTGACAAACTACAGGTTCAACTATAGGTTCATTGAATAACATGTAAAACTCTCAACTACGGGTTCAACTATAGGTTCTATACAACTATAGGTTCTATTCAATTAAATGTAAAACTCTAAACTACGGGTTCAACTATAGGTTCTATTTTCAACTAAACTGACAAACTATAGGTTCAATTATAGGTTCATTGAATAACATGTAAAACTCCCAACTACGGGTTTAACTATAGTTTCAATTCAATTACATGTTAAACTCTCAACTACGGGTTCAACTATAGGTTCTATTCAATTACATGTAAAAATCTCAACTACGGGTTCAACTATAGGTTCATTGAATAACATGTAAAACTCTCAACTATGGGTTCAACTATAGGTTCTATTCAGTTAAATGTAAAACTCTAAACTACGAGTTCATCTATAGGTTCTATTTTCAACTAAACTGACAAACTATAGGTTCAATTATAGGTTCATTGAATAACATGTAAAACTCTCAACTACGGGTTCAACTATAGGTTCTATTCAATTAAATGTAAAACTCTAAACTACGGGTTCAAATATAGGATCTATTTTCAACTAAACTGACAAACTATAGGTTCAATTATAGATTCATTGAATAACATGTAAAACTCTCATCTCCGGGTTCAACTATAGTTTCAATTCAATTACATGTTAAACTCTCAACTACGGGTTCAACTATAGGTTCTATTCAATTACATGTAAAAATCTCAACTACGGGTTCAACTATTGGTTCATTGAATAACATGTAAAACTCTCAACTACGGGTTCAACTATAGGTTCTATTCAGTTAAATGTAAAACTCTAAACTACGGGTTCAACTATAGCTTCTATTTTCAACTAAACTGACAAACTATAGGTTCAATTATAGGTTCATTGAATAACATGTAAAACTCTCAACTACGGGTTCAACTATAGGTTCTATTCAATTAAATGTAAAACTCTAAACTACCATGAGGGGTTCAACTATAGGTTCTATTTTCAACTAAACTGACAAACTATAGGTTCATTATAGGTTCATTGAATAACATGTAAAACTCTCAACTATGGGTTTAACTATAGTTTCAATTTAATTACATGTAAAAATCTCAACTACGGGTTCAACCATAGGTTCTATTCAATTACATGTAAAAATCTCAACTACGGATTCAACCATAGGTTCTATTCAATTACATGTAAAAATCTCAACTACGGGTTCAACTATAGGTTCATTGAATAACATGTAAAACTCTCAACTACGGGTTTAACTATAGTTTCAATTCAATTACATGTTAAACTCTCAACTACGGGTTCAACTATAGGTTCTTTTTAATTACATGTTAAACTCTCAACTACGGGTTCAACTATAGGTTCTATTCAATTACATGTTAAACTTTCAACTACGGGTTCAACTATAGGTTCAATTCAATTACATGTAAAACTCTCAACTACAGGTTCAACTATAGGTTCAATTACTTATAAAACTTTCAACTACAGGTTCAATTTTCTACTATATACAGCTTTAACTACAGGTTCATGGATGCAGTTTTAGAATATGAAAATATGATTAACTCGAGAAGTTGGTTTCCAAAAGAAAATCTGCCTTTTCATAGTTTATTTGGTTAGGCCTCCTTAATGCTAAAAAACTGTCAGAAATGTAAAATAATAAAAATAGAATGAAAAAAACCCATCTAACCAGGTGAATTAAGGAGCATAAGTAAGTCATGTTAATTCATGTAACCACGATTCCCCATACTTAAACACAGTGGGAAAAACATGGCGGAGTCATGTAGAACCAAGACAAGAGTTACATGATTTTGCCACATTGTTCATGCTCTGCCACAGTTTGCCCCGTGTAAAAGTGGAGTAAAATCAAGAGTGCCATCTCTTGTTTTTACAACAACATGCCACGCCACACATGGGGCAAAATGAAGCGAACTAAAGTGAAGTAAAGTAAGAACATGTGCCCTCTTTCGCCACGCATGTAAAAACATGGTTTTTTTCCTAAGGGTGATCCACTGAGATCAGAGCTGAATATTGTTGTATTTCAAAAATGTGTTTTCCATTTCAGTTAAGTTTACACAATGTCAGAGAAGCTTAGAAGCTATGAATTCTGGGAGAAAACCTTGCGAAAGGCGAAATATGTTGTTGCACCCATGGTAGATGCCAGTGAATTGGCATGGCGTATGATGAGCAGACGTTATGGTGCTGAGCTGTGCTATACACCAATGTATCATGCTGCAGTATTTTCAAGAGATGCTAATTATCGTTTTGATGCACTTCAGTCTTGTCCTGAAGATAGACCACTAATCATTCAAGTAATAGAATAGTTAATAATACAGGCCAGGGTGGTCCAAAAAAGTGAACCCCTGCAACGGGCCATATTTCCCTTATTACTTGCAGGAATTCTTTTTTATTTTCACGTGTTGTAGAGGAATCACAGGCTGGTATCGAAAGATTTGTCCGCTGTGACGGAGCATGCTATTTTTCATAAAAACACTAAGAATGCTTCACGATTTATTTTTTAACTCATATGTTTCGTTATATCAAAGATAATTACTTACTCCATGCAATGGATATATCATTTGTGTGTAACCTCCACTTCTGTTTGAAGTCCAATAACTCTAGGAGTAAAATCTATTGAAAACGGCGCCAGAGTATCAAACTCTAAAATGTACCATTTCTTTTTTAACTTTTTAATGGCATGATATAGTGACATGATAATATTAACATATGTTTTCAGCATAACTCTGAATGTATTAATGAGATATTAATGCATTGGGTCTTTTAAATTTTTTTATAAAAAATAATATTAATATTTTTTGTCCGCTATGACGGAGCATTTTCACAGTTCACATTTGCAACTGCTCCGTCACAGCGGACAAAAAAAATTAAACAATATTTTTCATAAAAGAATTAAAAAGACCAAATACATCAACATCTCATTTATACCTTCATAGTTATGCTGAAACCATGTGTAAATATTATCGTGTCACTATATCGTGCCATTAGAAAGTTAAACAAGAAATGGTACATTTTGAAGTATGATACTCCGGCGCCATTTTCAATAGCTTTTCTTCCCAGCGTAATTGGACTTCAAACAGAAGTGAAAGTTACCCGCAAATGATATATCCATTGCATGGAGTAAGTAATTTTGTATGGTATAACGAAACATATTAGTTAAAAAATAAATCGTGAAGTATTCTTAGTGTTTTTATGAAAAATAGCATGCTCCGTCACAGCGGACAAATATTTCGATACCAGCCTGTGGGAATGTCTAAAATTTATGTTGGTACCATACATTTTTCTTTACAAAAAAAGTTTGCAGAAATTTTAAGCCTCAACCAAATGTTACTGAAAATGGATAAAAATAAATTGCCAATACTCATTCGGGTCTTGAATTCACTTGTGAATACTGGACACTGTTAATACACACTTTGATTGTTACGCTAGGCAAATCAGTTAATGTTACAAAACTACATCTACAAGCAACACTGATCACATGCTATGAATCGTGCAATTTGTTATGTATCTCAAGGTGTTGCTGCTATATTCTGTAAAACAAACCACCACCACAAGAGTTAGTATAAGGCCACTGGGAGGAATAATCTACTATACTCTATACCTGAAAACACATAAAAATATACCATATTACAAAATGTTATTTTCAATATCCGTGATTCTTCAACCTTTCAACACCCTTCCCCTGACATTTTTAAGCTGCAGTCTTAAAGAACTAATATTTTCTGACTTTTGAATATATTCTGAATTTTGAATCTCACACATTATGGCTTAAACCTAGCATCCTACCTTTGTTAGTTGCAAAGTTATTGTTATCCAAGGAAATATTCAAAGCTTCCAGAGACGAAAACATTTTACAGTGAAATCATGGACATACCCCTATATGATCTTGAAATGTCAATATCTTCAAAAATCATGCACTAATTCTAATGAAATATGGCTCAAAACATTGAATATTAGATTTTTTAAAGATATTTGATGAAGGGCTTCTCAGATTCCTGGTCACAGGAGGCAACTTCCTTCCACAAGAGGCCCCCCTCTACCTGTGTAGGTAACATACCAATGAACTGTTGAACGGTTAAAACTGCTTCAAAATGATCAATGAAAGTGTGAAATGTGTTTTCTGCTTAAATAGTGTTCCTTTTGTCATATGGTAGAGTTTTAATCTTTAACTGAAAGCTGTTTAAGATCATCCAATGTGTTTCAACAATTTCCATGAATCACATTGGTAAAATTTTGCACAATATTTAATTTTCAGGCATGTTTGTTAAACTCTTGTAATTTCTTCAAAATTTAAGACTGAGAATAAATTATAGCATCAACCAAAATTTTAGACCTTTCTCTACAAGATGTGATAATATGAGTCTATCCATGCAAGTATTAAGGAATATACAGCCTGTTCCAGGGGTTCACTTTTTTGGACCACCCTGTACAGTATACTTATTAATTAGTACTATCATTATACCATTGAACTTTGTAAAGGATATTTATCCAGGTGATAACTCAAATATCTTTTGCCAGATATTGTACTTATTTTATATTTATATATTTATTATTATTGTATAACAATACATTTGGAAGCTCTTGAAAGCCAGTTTTCAAAATGACACCAGTGAAGTGTTGATTTTATTATTTTAGTAAGAACTTTTTTTGTCTATGGAATTGCCTACTCGTATATCTGTCCTTCTGTCTGTCTAGCTCTCAACAATTTATGAGGCTTCATAATGGTAATGCTGAAATTGATGTATCTTGTTCAATTTTGAAATTGCTACCTTTGATCCTAGCTCCTTTAAAGAAGACAAGTTAGCGGAAAGGGACAGTCTGGGCTAACAGCATATCACTAGAAATTATGTCTATAGAAAAAAATATTTTTGAGATCCATGGGAAAATATTCAAGCAAGACACATTATCTTGATTGTTGTCTAGTGTGATGGTCCTTTTGAATTTTTTCAAAAAATATTGCTGGCATTCATGTATGACACTTACCAAGATGTTTGACAGGATTTGCTATGCCTTGGCATTTTTGCTGTCTAGTTAAAATAGTGGTACCATTTTATGGTATTCTGTATGCAAGTTGAATACTCCTGTCAAAGAAATGGTTATATAATATGATTAGAACAATAGATGTAGCTGAGTATGACGCATACAGTAATATTTACAATAATAAACATTACCCTAAGTAAACCTATCTATTGGTTGGCTAAAACAGTGACATAGAACCAATCTTTAGAATTTTACTCTTTCAGTTCTGTGCGAATGACCCCCAAGTCTTTCTTGATGCTGCTAAGCTTGCAGAAGATCATTGCGATGCTATTGATCTTAACTTGGGCTGTCCCCAGCAGATTGCACGCAGAGGGCATTATGGTGCATTCCTACAGGATGATTGGGATTTGTTGGAACGCATGGGTGAGTCAGTGTTCTTGTAAGTCCATCCATCCTTCCATCCCTCCATCCATCAACCTTTCACTGGGCAAATTAACTGAACCTTATCCTTATAACCCTTTAAAGAATACAATAATGAAAATACTCTCCAATAATTTCTCAATCCTTTTGTAGTGTCACTGTGCCATGAGAAACTGAAGGTACCAATAACATGCAAGATTCGCGTGTACGAGGACATAGAGAAGACAATCAACTATGCTAAAATGTTAGAGAAAGCTGGTTGTCAGGTGAGTTTACTCTTAAACTATTTCTCAGATATTATTTCAATTCTACTTTCACATGACCAACATCCCTCAGGTTCCACTGGTCAGTATTGGTGCCTACATCGGCAAGTCAGAAATTCTAAGGAAGGATCTTAATGTGTCCCAAACTATCAATAAATAAGTGGTTTAGGTTAAGACAAGGAGTAACTATTCAATATAAATATCATTGTGGGTTTCACAGCTTCTCTTACCTGGAAGAGAGTTTATAGACTCTGATGTATCAGAATGACAATAATCATACAATGAGATGATTATGCTTCTAATAGAATACTTTTGTTATCTATTATTCTAGCTGCTGACTGTACATGGCAGGACCAAAGAACAGAAGGGAATGGAGACTGGGCTAGCCAGTTGGAAACACATAAAAGCTATTAGGTATTATTTAAATTCAATTTGTATGAATTTGAATTTGTATTTTTAGTTCACATGAGTGAGCTGTTGTTATCTCTTACTTGTCTGTTTGTCTTGTCATTCATCTGTTTACACATTGATGGCACATTTTGCCAAGATGTGGTGACATATTGTTATAACCACTGACTGACATTTTGCCAAGATGTGGTGACATATTGTTATAACCACTGACATTTTGCCAAGATGTGGTGACATATTGTTATAACCACTGCTTTTTCCCTGTTAATCCTATCACTTCAGTTTAAATGGGTTCACTTGCTCCATCTTCCATATTCATCCATGGATCACTCATCAATCTTATCATATAAGGATCCTCTATGTATTCCATACCTGATACCTGATCGGTGCATCATGTGTTGGAGTGGGATGTATATATCTGTATCACCCTGCATTTTTTTGCTTAAGTGGGACATATCTGTCTATTCATCCCAATCCAGCTCCATAAAGAAATATCAAAAAGTGAAAAATTTCACAGTAGGCAAAGCATACATCTGTTACATAGGGTCAGTTATAGACAGGGTTTATGTTTATCCAAAATATCCCATTATACAACCCAATTAGTATACATGGTTAATTCTTAGACACCCAGTTTTCCCCCTGTTATCTATAGGATTTTGATAAACCCTGTATATTTAGGAAATATTCAAAAACTACAGGTGGTCAATATTGGTCATTGCATTCCAGAGACAATGTTAGCATCCCTGTGTTTGCCAATGGTAACATACAATGGCTGGCTGATGTTGAAAAGTGTATTAAGGCAACAGATGTAGATGGTGTCATGATTGCAGGTGCGTATTTTTACATTGTGTCAACTTTGGCAGTCATTGTGCTGTTATATGTATACTTAAATGTATTAAACTGGAATAAAGAAGAAAAAAACTTGAGTCACCTCCAAGATACTATTGTGATTGGCATTAATTAGGTGCTTGCTTTTTATGTCTGTAAGTATCGAAACAAAGAAATCATATGTTATGATCACATTACGTAGCCGTGATAGTACATGTATTTTGCATTACAAAATGATGCCTGTAAGATAATGCTGAACTCAGGCCCTCGAGAAAAACAACAAATTTTGAATTTTATTCAGTTTATATGCATCACAGTGTACATTTAATGGATTGGAAGACTTAATACTTGAGCAAAGTAGAGCCTCCAAGTGTTCTCCCTAGTGATTTTTAAATTACCTCTTCTGCATTAAGGTTTCAATACACTGTTGGAAAGCTGAGAGTGTCAGTTTTAAGAATCCAACCTACATTCAAATTTTCGCTGAAAATTAATATCTAATTTTGCATCCCCTTAAAATTTGTATGAAGGTCAGATTTTAAAGCTTACCCTTTCAGCTTTCCAACGGTGTATTGGAACTAATACACTATTTTCAAATATCAAATCTTATTTCGATCGTAAACAAAAATTCTGAAGCATTTTGTAGCATAATGCACTTAATGACCCCTATCTTGGTTTAAACTCTTAAATGTTCTCCAAAGCATAATTTGACATTGAATTAGTTATTGTAAACCTAAAAATAATCTATTCTGGCCACAGGGGTATTTGTCATTTTGAAATTGATTTTCATAAACTTAATAAATGACCCCTTGGGGATGAAAGGGTTAATATCTAATTTTGTATTCACTTAAAATTGAAATGGAGGTCTGATTCTTAAAGCTGACCCTTTCAGCTTTCCAACAGTGTATTAGAACAACACACTGTTTTCAAATATCAAATCTCATTTCGACCGAAAACAAAAATTCTGAAGCATTTTGTCGCATAATGAGGCCACTGCTCTTAATGACTCCAATCTTGGTTCAAACTCTTAAATGTTCTCCAAAGCATAATTTGACATCGAATTAGTTATTGTAAACCTAAAAATAATCCATTCTGGCCACAGGGGTATTTGTCATTTTGAAATTGATTTTCATAAAATTAATAAATGACCCCTTGGGGATGAATGGGTTAATATCTAATTTTGCATTCACTAAAAATTCAAATGGAGGTCAGATTCTTATAGTATATATATATATTCCTTAGTTCAGAGGTGGTCATTTATATCACCCTAGTTTGCTCTACTATAAATGTTATTGTGATATTTCAGAGGGGAGTTTACATAACCCAGCCCTGTTCAGTGGCAAACAAACAATAGTGTGGGATATGGCAATTGAGTACCTGGATTTAGTAGACCAGTATCCCTGTCCTCTGTCCTATATAAGAGGCCATCTCTTCAAGATATGCCACCATGCGTAAGTAATCTATTGTTCACCAGACTCTATCTTTTCTGCCTATCTTTTTGCCAACATTCAATTTTTACCAACTGGTTGCATTAAATTTAATGATTCCGTTGAATAAGAATCTCTTTGCCAGATTATATTACTGTTATTAAATACAATCCAACCTATGCCATGACATAAAATCCCCTTTTTGGAACAAGAGGCAAGTCCCTAAAAAAGAAAATGATCAATCCCTTAATGCGCAGTAGGAGTGATTCTGTAGTGCTGTGACGATCACAAAAATGAGGCTTTTGTATGTTGGTCATTTACGCATCTAATTTTTTCATTCAAATTAACTGTTGATCATTCTAATCGTATCAATATATTTATATGAATATAGTTTAATGCAATAATGACAGTTTGGCTGATAGGTGCCTGTTTGATGGGATTTGCTACATATTGGCATTGCTCTTATCTAGTTTGATTTTCAATTTTGAAAACTGTGCATAAATGTATCCAGTTGTAATACATGTGTTCCAACATGAATTAATAAAAAAAGATCATGGAGCAATAAATAAATCTAATATCAAAAATTAAATGAGACATTTACATGACAGCGTATTCATTTTTCTGAACTATTTATAGATTTCATGTACACCCAACTATCAGAGAGATGCTGGCCGTCTCTAAATCAGTGAAGGAGATCAGACGTTCAATTGAGCTTCTCAAGGTCACATGTCAGGTAGTGTCTTCACTTAGTAAATGTTTTCTCATAACATAAGGTTGTAACATACTACACTGTATATTTATCATGTATTATACAAATACTGGATGATCAGTAGCTGGATATGGCAGAATATCTATTCGAGAAAAAAAAATTGGGTGAGGCATAGATATACACCAAACGAAAAAGCGTTGGCATGTCCCGGGATTTAATTTACATTTATTTGAGGCATTCTTGCAGAATTATGCATAATGTTTGAATGATAAGGGTAATTGTGATTAATTAAGTACACTTTTTTTTCTTCTATTTGCCATCAGTTTCTGATTTTAGCTTTTAGTAGAACTCGAGTTATTGAGAAATAAAACTCTTTAAGTGGGGAATGTTGCAAAAACATTGAAAAAAATATTGATCAGTTGCAAAAAATATTGGGCAGTTTTAAAAAAAAGCCAGATATGGCCAAATTACCAGCAGCTTAGAAATAATCAGATTTCAGTATCTAGACAGGGTGAATAATAATAGACTATACACACATTTTGAAATAATTCCTAGCTGCTCACTATTTCTGATTCGCTAATGTGCCATAGTCTTGTCAGACACTTATAAGATGTTTAGGGATTTTCTGAACCTGGGTATTACAGTTGTCTAGTATATTCCATACATCATTCTACGGATTGCACAGGGTGACCCCAAAAATAGAACCCACAAATCTTTGGATAACAGTTTTGAGTTATGCTTTTTTGTTCACCCTGTAAGACAGTTTTGTACTTAAATCTACAGGATGATGTTGAAAGGTTTGAGGAACATCCTGAAATGTTGAAGACCTGGGAACTTCCTCTACCATACTGGATATGTCAGCCTTATGTTAGACCTACGTAAGTAATCTACCATTGAAAAAGTACGACATTTTCTGACTTATTATCTGCTATGTTCAGAACAGTTGTGCACTATTCTAATTGGCATATCAAAGTGTATAAAATGCTAAACCCTCAAATATTGATCATTAATTGAATTGCTGTAATGTACAAGCATGTTGGCTCCATTGAAACTCAATTATAAAGTCTTCTCCACTGATCTCTAAATAACTAAATAAAAATGAGAAATCTTTGTAAAATCACAGCTAATTTTATGTCTTGCGTCGCCATTACCTACATTCTATTGGTTTTGAATATGTTTAGGATTTTCAAAAATAAATTTAGATACATTTGGTCTTCACTCTAAATGTTCACAGGAAGCTTGGGTCTTCTTGTGACATATACGAACCTAATGAAAGGATTTATTATCCCAACAAACGAAGTGCTGTAGGGATATAGTGAAGCCAAAGTAATAAATATTATTGTTTGAAATTTTGAAAGCATATTCAAAACATGTATCTATCTATTTCACATATATTCAGTGTTTTTTGGCTTGACCCCCAGGGACTCTGTATGGGGGGTCAGGAAAACAGGAATTTACAGTTATTTTGAGATCTTTCTGAAGTATAGCTTTATTATACTCAAATGAAAGGGAATTTAGAGTAGATTGCAAATATTGTATCATTTTTTTATTAAGGGCCTTATGTAGGATTTCACAATAATTTTTTGATCTTTTCAAAGTATGGCTTTACTCAAATTGAAGGAATTTTAGTGTATACTCAGAAAATTCAAAATGTCTGCCTAGAGCAGGAATTACTTAGCGATCTCTTCAAATATGGTTACATTATACTTATTAAAGTATATTAGATCTCAAATATTCTGATGTCTATGATTTGTGCCTTTGAAACTAATAATTGGTCACCCAAATGCTTTGATCAGTGGAGAATCTGATATTTTTGTATTGTATGTCTTAATATCTGCCAATTTAATCAAGGGTACAATAGATGGTTAATATTACATTGTGACATATACAGATTCATTAATATTAGTCTTCTTTGGGATTTGCTATTCCATGGAGTTGCTGTTCTCTAGTGCTAGTTTTTTGTTGGCTCACACAGTGAGCCTATGGGATTGACCAGGCGTCCGTCCGTTGGTCCGTCTGTCCGTCCGTCAACATTGGCCGCACAAATTAAAACTTGATCTTCAGTGACCTTCGAAAGGTCAAAAAAGTTGATATTTCAAATTGATTTTTGGATGTAAATTTTGGTCAGCTTAATCACAAAAGACCTTACTGAGCTCTGAATAAGTAAAATTTTCAAGGTCAAAGGTCATCAAACTAGGTCACACAACTGTGCTATCTAAGTTTCTCAAAGTTTGAGACTACAAATCCAAATCAATATTTTTGTTTGAAAGTCAGGATATACATTCCTCTGAAGGTTCCAAACTGTGTGAGCACAGGACCATGGGTCCTTTATTAGCTCATTTTTACCTGTTATCCCCATTTCCAAAGTCCTCTTGGTTTTCAAGAACTGGTGAGTTGACACCCCTTGACAAAAACACCCGTAAAGTTTTTGTTTGGCCAATGTTTGGCATCAGCATTCAACATCTGTAACAATTTGTTACACAATTTTGTGTATTTTAAATGTTTTACATGTTTCAAGTTTCAACCCAATTCTCGCAGTATTTGATACCATGGCAATGAATAAGTATACTTTGGGAACATATAACATTTTTGTAGTCATGGTCAGGTTGAAATCCATACATGTGGATATTTAGAGCTAGAGTGTATAAATCAGTAACAAGTTAATATTTTATTCATTGGAAATTTTCAGGAAAGAAGAAAGAGAGAAGCGTCAAAAAGAAAAACGTGAAAACCTCAAGCGTCAGCTGGAGAATATGGAACCAGCTGCCACTAGCAATGAACCAACAGAAAAACTGTCTAAAAGTAAAATGAAGAAATTGAAAAAGTATCCTAATAAAGATCTAGATAAGAAGATATCTGAAAGGGCAGCTAAATATGTGTCTTGTTCAGAATGTACCAACTGCAAGGTAAGATATAATATATACGAAATCAGTAGAATACATCCTAGAAAAACAAGACAAATAATGCTCTGCATAAAAATAACTTTACATCGGGGCAATTGGACAATATACAATTATTTAGGGGACAGTAGGACCCTAGTGTTATATTTTTATGTCACCACCAGAAGTGATGACATATTGTTATGATTTCCAACTTTTTTTGTGGCTGGTGTTCGGCAGTTGGTGTTCAGTGTTTGGCAGTTGGTGTTTAGTGTCTATAACAGCATTCAGTGGTTGACGTCTGTAACAAGGTGGTGACTTTTGCATGTTGATGCCTTGTTAGTATTGTTGTTACACTATACAGTCATAGGCTTTGGATTTGTTGTTTGGTATGCATAAGTGCATAAGCATGACATTACTAAGAAACATCAAACTGCATAAGTGATTTTATTTTAAATTAGAAATAAGAAAATATCACTCTGTGGTTTCATTTTTATTGTCATTGGAATGTGGAAGATTTGTCCCTCTTGATGTTAAATTATATTGCTGGAACTCAGCCAATTAAGATACAAGGCTACCTCCAAGGATCTCTTTTGGGCTCAGATCTGGTTTGGTGGAGGTATAATTAATTTTACAATTTGATGAAGGAACATATAATGATGGATATAAGGTTTAGCAAGAGGAGGGAAAGCCCCAGAGCTTTAGCGATAACTGACATAAAAAGTCTCTTGCGTACCACCTTCGTTTGCGCAAATTATCACCAGTAAATTTTACAATAAAGCGCGTCATTGTGATGTTTTAATCGATGTAAACATATTCCTTAAATATGAAATCTTGAAATTGGCCAACGAATTCTATGATCTGGTGGAAGGTTATTACAAAGGGTGTAGAATAACTTGTAATGGACACGGCACTTACAACACTCCTTCTAATAACCCCTAAATACCATCAGAAATGATGCTACTGATCTCACAAATGAGATGACCAAGAAAAAATTAACAAATCTCGCTTCTACAGTTGGAAATACTGAACATCAAACTATTACCAAGTGGCAAGTGGCCATCTTTGATCTCTCCCAGATGGTTGTTTGGGGCTCACATGCAGGGCTTTAATTCCGTTTGTGATGTCTTTTTGGGTCGGGTACTAACCTTGATTTACACAACTTGAGTCACCCAAACTACCTCTATACTAGATTTTATGATGCATCAAGTACATTTTTCCATCGATTTATACTTGGTATTTTAAACTGATGAATATATCACATGTTTTGTAGGGGATGAAGTGTGTATTTGACCTGTGTAAAAGCTGCTGTAAAATCAAAACCCACACTGATATAGTGGACTGTGAAGGTAGGTAGATATAACCTGAAAGGAGGAGGGAAGTTAGTGCAACAGATTTTGGACAGTCATATGTTTGATTTTGGGCACTTCCTGGGGATTTAAACAGGTGTATATGTTAGGAGAATGCATTACCTCCAGGAAAATGACTTCTAGAGATGATAAAATAATTTCAACTTTGAGACAGGGTAGATGCAAACAACCCACCCACATGTTTTTCTGAAATGTTTTCCTGATTTTCAACCCCTTCCATCCCTGCTTTTTTAATTTTTCTTGCATCAATATGTTGCGTTTTGACACATAGTTAATCCCTTAAAAGGAATAAATGATTCCTTTTAGATAAAGTGGAAAACAATATTCCCCATGTTATTTTCCCATAGGAAAAATCATTGCTTTCAGCTAAGTTTGGTCACCCATAATGGGTATCTTTAAAACCCCTGAAGGAATCACTTATTCCTTTAAAGTGGTTAACTATGTGTCAAAATGCAACATATTGATGCATGAAAAATTAAAAAAGCAAGGATGGAAGGGGTCGAAAATTAGGAAAACATTTCAGAAAAAACATGTGGGTGGGTTGTTTGCATCTACCCTGTCTCCAAGTCGAAATTATTTAATCATCTCTAGAAGTGATCTTCCTGGAGGAAATGCATTGGCCTAATATATGCAATTGTTAAAATCCTCTGAAAATGGCCAAAATCCAACATATGACTGTCCAAAATCTGTTGCGCTAATTTCCCTCCTCCTTTATCATTGGCACTGAATAGAACATTATAAAGCTTACCCCATGACATAGTAACATATTATCACATAATGCTTCTGCAATGGAATCATTTTAAAGGTGTCATAGGCCAATATTATCAAATTGCTTGACCACTTCATTTTTATGGTCAAGCAGAGCATTCAGTTATTCAGTCCTTAATTTTCAAAAGCCAATAATTTTCTGCACTAAACATCTATTTCTTACCTCAATCAATTCTAGCATTTATCTCAGCTTCACTCTCCCCAAGTCCCCAAGTTTGGACACCCTGTACATTGTGCTCAAATTCTCAGCTTTATATGAGTCTTCATTTTTATGTTTGAGCAACCTAAGCACAAATTGAACACCTTTTCTCAATTATTCGTAACTTGAGCATGGGAGGGGTACAGTACAGGCGATGGAATTTAAATATATATCTGTTTTTCTTTGTCAATTTTAACATCCAATTCTTACTTCATTCCAGGTCACAATCTCCTAGTGAAAACCAAACAAGAGAGACGTATAAAATGGGAAGAGAGACAAAAATTGGAGAACTTTCAGTTGCCATACTCTAAACAAGCAGGGACTGAAATAGCTGACAAAAATATTAAGGAAAATAACAAAAATCTTGTTGACTATAGTGAAAGCAATCTTACAGATACTAACAATGATCCTACAAAGGAAAGTGAATACACAAATTTGGATGTTGATTCAAATGGTATTAATCCAGCAGTAAATGGTGATTGCAACTGAAGAAACAACTGTTACGACAAAAAACAAGTTAATAGCAATAGTTAGTAGGGGAAATCTTTGAATCTGAACACTCTTATCTGATCACCTCTCAAGGTGAATACTTTCTCCCATTGACATATTTGAAGTTACCAAACAATGATCATCTGGTATTCTGAACACTTTGGGCTTGAGTTGAAAAGAGTATAACACCACTATACTTGTAGCATGGATGTTAGAATAACGTTTGTGAGTTTGTAGCATTGAAGTGTATTTCCACATGAAATCCTTTCACTCTGTATTGTGATTCTAATCAATGATGAGAGTAGTAATTGAGCCAATGAGAGTAAAAAGAGTGCCACTGTTGGTTTTAGAGTTTGAATATACTATAAGAAAGCTGTTAAAGTGTCAGGAATAAGTAAATAATAACAATATTTCATTCTGCTGAAATTTCATGTAAAGCCTTATTTTTCTACCTCACAAGTGCCACTATCTCAGGTATGAAAATAATATGCTTTGGAATAGTTATCCCAAAGAACAAAGTTCGGTAGGGATAAAGTGAAGCCCTTCGTCCGTCAGTCAGTCATAATTCGAATACTAGTGATAGATTTTCTTCATATTTGGTGAAAAGATGTATATTGGTGATTAGGTTTACGCAAAAAATGTTGAAGTTGGCCACTGCTTTAGAAATTGCGGGAATTATTTGCAAAAATCTGAAGTTTTTCACCCAAATACTTAAATTGGTGGATAGATACCCTAATATACAGTATCTGTATTGTATGTCTTTTAATATCTGCCTATTTAATCAAGGGTAGAATAGATGGTTAATATTACATTGTGACATATACAGATTCATGAATATTATCATTCATTTGGATTTGCTACTCTGTGGAGTTGCCAATTTCTAGTTATTATTGTCCAATAACAATTTGTAAAAAATGTTTTGAAAATACTGTACCATAGATGAAATTACCAAAACCATAATTCTTTATATATACTGGATGAGCATAATGTAAAAGTGGTTTTGAAAAGTAGCAAATTTCTCTTTATGTAGGTTTATTGTGGTTTATTATTCTACATTGATTCTGAAACTATTGGTGTCTAGTTTTTCAGCGTTTTGGAAATATGCAGATTTATACCCCCCTGGTGTTATTTTAAGAGGGGTCCTAGGAAAGCCATGTATAATTCCTAGAGTATCCAACCAATCATCTTGAAATTTTCAGGTAACCATCTTCTTATCATGTCCTATCATTGTGAGCAGTTTCATCAATATTGGTTAACTGGTTGCTATGGTAACAGAAATCACTTGTTAAAAAAGTACACATTTTCGTAAAAATTTAAGACCTACCCTGAGACAAAGCACATAATATTTTCCTGGAATTGGGAGGAATTAGCATGAAAACATATTAGAAAACTTATTTAGAGTATGGTTGATAATACTAAATCAATTGATGTTTTATTTTAGCCATACAATTAATTATATTTGCCGATGATAATATGGCTATGCAAAAAATGTGTAAAAGGGGGCGTGGCACTTTTCCCAAGAAAACTTTATTTGTACCCAAGTTTGTGAATAAATATATGACTATTCATTCTGATATTAACAGATATTAGTAAAGTTATGATGTTTAACCATCATGGGAAGTTTCACTATTGGTCTGCTGGTTGTTATGGTAACAGAAATCATTTGTTAAAAAAGATTGTATTTTCTTAAAAATCTAAGACATACCTTGACACAAAACATATAATATTTTTATGACAGTCAGGATGAGAACATTTTAGAAAATTTATTTAGAGTATGTTTCATAAAATTAAATCAATTGATGCTTTATCTTAGCCATACAAAGAATTGTACTTGCTGATGGTAAACTGGCTTTGCAAAAAAATTAGAAAGGGGCAATGGCACAATTTCCTAAGAATTCTTTATTTGTGTTCAAAGTGAAAAAATAATGTCAGTTTTCCTTGATATCTACATTATTATCCCAACGAACGAAGTTCAGTCAGTCCGTCCGTCCGGAAGATAACTAAAAAATATTAGTTGACGGATTTTCTTCATATTTGGTGGAAAGATGTATATTGATGAATAGTTTTACGCAAAAAAAAAATTTTCAAGATGGCCGCCGCTTTAAAAATGACGGGACTTTTTCGCAAAAATCATAAATTTTTCATTCTAAACCAAAGTAATTAATATTATTGTTTTAAATTTATATTATTATATATAATTTATATATTTATATTCGCAACATCTATCTATTTCACATATATTCTGTGTTTTTCAGGAAAACAGAAATTTTCGCTAATTTTTAGATCTTTCTGAAGTATAGCTTTATTATACTCAAATGAAAGGCAATTAAGAGTAGATTGCAACAAAGGTCATCTTTATAGCGAACAGAAAGTTTGTTCTTCAGGAAGAGCTGTTTATATTTGGGGTTATAGTCAGTCAGATTGTTTTCCTTCATATGTGCCTGATACAGCTCATGGACATGTTCAAGTATTTCAACTCCATCGGTTTGAAGGACATGTTCATCTATATGCTTACATATGAAGTCAAATGATGTTATTAAAACCTTTTCCTCTTCATTTATCGTTCATACTTTCTTGCACAAGTAATTTCTTCTACAGGTATTATGGTACCAAGCTTCTGCTGATATCAAACAGCGTCCTCCTATTTTTGCATGTTAAGTCCAGTCTTCTTGGGCTTTCACTGCATTTATTATTGATGTTGAAGCGTTGTCTGTTTGGCATTTTGTAATGATTCTTTTGTGTTTCCTTTGAGATATTTCAGATCTTTTTCACAAAGAGGCACTTGTTTTGTTCAAAAAGGTTGCTTTGGCGTAATTTCTTACTATGACATTCTTCACCAATTGCTAGAGCAGAGGATCTTTTCCTCAAACTTCTCTCGGACATGATATATACGTAACAACACTAATACATTGATTTACAGGGTTCTACTCAGTTGCATGATATATGGAAAAAAGTATATATATTGGAAGGGCAACACTCCACGATGCAATAATGGAAACTAAACGATGGTGTATTAAATCACCTACCTTAACTGAAACGTAAAAGTAAAAAATAAGGAATAACTGTGTATATAGCACAACTGCAACCGCAGCACACTATCTGGAACCACTGTCCAAAATCACTCGCAACCGCACCGCACTGTCTGGAACCACTGTCCAAAATCACTCAATCTATTAACACAGAGTCACTAAACTTTATCTGTATGCAGCACACATAAACAATGTGTATTAGATCACCTACCTTGACTTCACCCTAAAATTATAAAATAAAGAAAATAAAGAATGCCTCTGCATCTACACAGTTACGCAACCGCACCGCACTGTCTGGAACCACTGTCCAAAATCACTCGCAACTGCCCCGTAATCAGTTAGGCAACCGCACCGCACTGTTTGGAACCACTGTCCAAAATCACTCACCTGACTTAAATCACTCACCTGTCCAAAATCACTCACTGTATTTACCCACAATCACTCACCTCTATCTAGATGTAGCACAGCTTAACCGCACAACGTATATCTATTTCATCAGGTCTGCACAGCTAATCAAGAAGGCATGAACTGTGGTAATTGAAGCATAACATTGACAACAAAAGATCATATCAACAACTGATTTATCATTACATATACAACTTATTCCTAGGAATGCAGATTTAATTTGCCATCACATTAATGAAGTCTAAATTCTAATTGCAACATTTAAATAAAGCTCTAAATTTGGTATTATTGTTATATCAAATAGGAATTATTAACTATTTTTATGAATAACATTATTTTCTATCTGGATATTAAGCATGACGGGAATCACTCAAACATGTATATTTCATAAAGATGTCAGGTTGATTTAAAAAGAAACAAATATATAGGTAAGCATGTGAGTGAGTGATAAATTAGTATCATCCAGAATGAGATTAATGAATTTATTTAATATAAACAATAATTTATTTGATTTTGTTAAAATGCGTTTTCCTCAAAACTTCATTCCAAGATGCAAATTAAGCACACATAAATAAAATCACATTGATGACCTCACAAAGCCATGAATGTATATTTGAAGACAAAGTTTATATCCTTAATTAGATAATATACCCCATACCCCTTTAATGGTCAACTGTTTTAACAAATGATTTCTGTTACCATAACAACCAGCAGACCAACAATAGCGAAACTTCCCATGATGGTTAAACATCATAACTATATATCCGAAATTGTTCATTGGTTAGGTGTATGATTAAATAGATTAAAATTCCTCAATTCACTAACCTTTTATAGCATTACTATCTAGCTTTCGACAACACCTGTTGCCTTTCTCAAGATGTCTGAATTTGGCGGGAAACTGGTAGATTTGACCTTGACTTGATCTTTGACCTAGCAACCTCAAGTAGACTCGGGGAAACCTTATATCCTAAATCTCTGTTAAGTTCAGGTTTATATTTATGAATATGTATCGCTTCCTTTATCTTTCTATCAAAGTATTTAGACTCTGAGTCAATAATTCTATAATCCCAGTTTATCTTATGCGCTTCATCAAATGAATGTTGAGCGATTGCTGACTTGTCTGGGTTAATTCTTAAGGCGTCTCTGTGTTCTTTTATTCTAGTTCCTATGGCTCTCCCTGTCTCTCCTATATACTTCTTATCACAATCTGAGCACTGGATTTCATATATGACTCCGGACTTAAGGTCCTTGGGAGTGGGGTCTTTGGGTGCAACTAACGCTTGTTTGATAGTTTTCACTGATTTGAAACAAGTCTTAACTCCAATGTCTTGAAAAACACGTTGAAGTTTGGGAGCGATCGAACTCACATAGGGAAGAACTACCTTAATATCCCTATCTTCACTGTCTCTAGCAGGATCCTGTTGCCTAACTGTGTGATTCTGAGCTTGGTTTCTTGAGAAAGGCAACAGGTGTTGTCGAAAGCTAGATAGTAATGCTATAAAAGGTTAGTGAATTGAGGAATTTTAATCTATTTAATCATAACTATACTAATATCTGTTAATATCAGAATGAATAGTCATATATTTATTCACAAACTTGGGTACAAATAAAGTTTTCTTGGGAAAAGTGCCACGCCCCCTTTTACACATTTTTTGCATAGCCATATTATCATCGGCAAATATAATTAATTGTATGGCTAAAATAAAACATCAATTGATTTAGTATTATCAACCATACTCTAAATAAGTTTTCTAATATGTTTGCATGCTAATTCCTCCCAATTCCAGGAAAATATTATGTGCTTTGTCTCAGGGTAG